TAGTCCTCAAGGAGATATCCTTGCTCCTTAGCACTTGAAACGTTAAAGAACATATTTTAATGAAAAATATATTTTCCAAAACAAAAGTGCCTAAGGCATTTGGCTGCTAACTAGAAGGCTGGCGGTTCAAACCCACCGGCTACTCCTTGGAAGGAAGGCTGGGTAATCTACTTCTGTAGTGATACCACCTCGGAAGGTTGCTATGAGTCGGGTCCGACTTGATAGCAAATAGCAACAACAACAACAAAACAGAAACAAACAAACAAAAGAATGTATTGAGAGAGTGGTGCTCTTTCACACTCTTGCAAATCTGCTGCCTCACCTAAAAGAAGACAGCTGGCCCTCCCTGCCTTCACAGCAGTGTGTTGTTGCATCTTACCTCACGGTGCCTCTGGAAACTGACACTTGTAAAGTATCTCTCAAAAAAACTCATTGCCGTGGAGTCAGATCAGACTCATAGCAACCCCTCCTTGGGTTTCCAAGGCGATAAAACTTACGGAAGTAGATTGCCCAACCTTCCTTCCAAGGAGTGGCTGGTGGGTTTCAACCTCCAGCCATCTGGTTAGCAGTCAAATGCCTTAGGCACTATGCCACCAGAGCTCCTTGTAAAGTAACTAGAGTCAAGTAATACCTCAGGAATACTGTGAAAATGGCTTTGACCCTGTGGCCCCTGGAGGTCCACAGGACACCGCCCTCTTCTTCATGGAAAATAATCACCTCCCATGTGTCCCCTTAATCCATCTCCAGGTGTTTCTGAGGGGTGTTTCGACCTGGGGCAAAAAGAAAAGACAGCCGTCGGCACTGCGTGCCCTTCTGTGGTGCTTGTTCACGTCTCATTGCTTTTCTTTTTCCATCTGTAAGTGTAAAGCCTTAAGTTGATCATCTTCAGTAAGCTTTGCAGAGAGCCGAAGTGAAGTGCCTGGCCAGGGCTGGCAGGTTCAGCTGTCCTGTGTGCTGTGGTGTGCGTGTGGCGTCCCATGGTGCTTGAGAAGGTCCTTATGGCACTGTACTGACACCTGTCATGAGAAGCCCGTGTCGTTCTCAGCGCAGATGGACTGCACAGTTCCTCTGTCGGGTGATGACCGGGCTGCCCCTTGTGAGTCCTGTACCTTTGACTCAGTCCAGCTGGAATGAGTGAGTCTCTGATTCTTATCTAAAGAAGCAAAGAAGGCAGGAGCCTTGATTTTAACCCTTCTGCGACCTGTGGGACATAAGTCGTCCACCAACATTTTCACCCTCTGCTATGTAGGACCACCTGCAGGGGATCTGTATAACTGCATGAATCTGAAAGAACAGGCTTCACCCACCCCCCATTCTTACCATGAGAGCCCACTTGGGACATATGTGTCCCATATCATTGTATCAAAATCCATATTACCTCAATTAAAAAAAATTTCCCCTTCCATTACTGAAAACACATGATATCAACAAAGAATTCACAGCAGAGATAATTTGGTCATGAAAAGGTTGACGAGTCCCAGAGCTCCCTCACAAAGGCCCCAGGAGCTTAGGTTGTTGCATGGATGTTGTGTTGTTATGTGCCATCGAGTCGGACCCGACTCATAGCGAGCCCTCCTTGGGTTTCTGAGGCAGTATCACTACGGAAGTAGATTGACCAGCCTTCCTTCTGAGGAGTGACTGGTGGGTTTGAACCGCCAGCCTTCTGGTTAGTAGTCAAGTGCCTTAGGCACTATGCTGCCAGAGCTCTTTACATATTGGGATTCTTTGAGGAAAGAGGGTTTTAAAAAAAAAAAAAAAACCTGGAAGTTGGCCACTGTCTTAAGCTGCACAAAAGATGAGTACGTTGGACAGCGTCAGCAGGACCCTGGGCCCGTTCTCCTTTCACACCCCAGGCACCAGGGTTTCTTATTTGCCGTGGTAGATAGACATTAATACAATAAATTATATCCTTCAGCCTGATTTATAAATGATACGCAAAAAGGCAAAGTGCTCATTTTTCAAATATAAGTAATATCTCATTTGTTGCATGGAACCTGTCTGTGAATTCTCCAGATTACAGAGGGCTGCCCTTTCTAAGTATTTTTAAATTTTTATGACAAGATCTCTTTTCATACAGTGCACAAGCAAAAATTTCAAATGGCTAAAGATGTAGCTGGAAAAGCAAAGCTATAAAATTGAGATAATTTTTGTAGTCTTGAGGTAGGAATGGCCTTCCTCAGCAAGAGATAAAATCCAGAAGTTATCAAGGGAATGATTGGCAGAGGTTGTTGTTGTTATATGCTGTCAAGTCGGACCTGACTCATAGCGACCCCTCCTTGGGTTTCCGAAGCAGCATCACTACGGAAGTAGATTGCCTTGTCTTCGGCAGATAGGACTACATAAAAAAATATTACACTTCTGTGTACTAAAAAGGAGCTCTAGTAGCATAGTACCTAAGGCACTTGACTGCTAACCAGAAGGCTGGCAGTTCAAACCCACCAGCCACTCCTCAGAAGGAAGGTTGAGCAATTTATTTCCGTAGCAATACCACCTGGGAAACCCAGGGAGGGGTCGCTATGAGTCGGATCCGACTCAACAGCAGTGAGTTTGGTTTGGTTTGGATGTTGTAAAAATGATGTGGAACGACAAACAGAAACAAAAACTACTATGTGTATGAAAAAGGAAGTGTTTATACAAAGGCCATCTACAAACCAATAAAGAAAAGAAACAATAGAAAACGGGCAAAGGCCACGAACAGGTGATTCACCCAAGAAGCCCATGTGAACCTGCAGGTGATGAGCTTTCCATGGCCATCAGCAAATGCGCAATAGCAGCAGAGAGATGTGTGCCTGTCCACTGGTCAGTGTCCTGCATCAGTGGCACGGTGGGAGCATGGACGGGGTCTCCCGTTTAAAAACGATGGTGGGAATGTACATTGACTCAGCCTTTTGGAGGGCCTTGGTAAATTTCCAATACTCTATATACCCTTCTTATGTAGGGTATATGCTTGTGAACATCTGTGCCCTAGAACCCAGAGGTGGTTATTGTGATAGGGAAAGTAAAGACAGAAGCATCCCGGTTACTCCATAGGGACGCCATGGATTTGGATGAGGTAAAGAGAAAACACTGCAAAAGAAAGTGAGGGCCCACTTTTAAAGGGGGCAGCGGGCTCGCTCTGTTTTCATGCGTCATGTTTATGCAAAGGCTCAGATGCAGGTGGAGACCTAACGGTGGTCACCCCAGGGTGGAGTTAGAGGCCTGAGGTCTCTGGCTGGATCCGGTTCTGTGGTACTGGAGCGTGTGCTTGGTAGGCTTGGAATTGTACAGGTCGCACTGCTGTCCTCACTGCCTTCTTACAGTCATCATTGTGCACATCGGGGTTTAGCCTTTTTGGAAAAGCTTTTGGCTGCTCAGGTGAGTGCTAACAGTAGTAGCAGTGGCTGGTGGTGTTTCACTGTGCATTGCCAGGCGTTGTGTCGAGCCGTCGTGACTCATGACTACACGGGTTCTCGGGTGCAGGCCCTCGAGGGTCGTGACTGTGTTTTGCACCTGGGTGTCCCCCAGAGCCTCCACGTCTGTGTCCTGGTGTCTGTCTGCGGGGCTGTTGGCTGTTGCTCTCCCTCTTGGGTCACGCACACTCTGGGTTGGCGGGTCCTTGCTGTGTTGTGTGCGAGACCCTGCCCACCACTAGTGTCGTTAGAGAACAAGGCACTCACATAGCCCTGTTTAAGAATCGTCTGAGCACCTTCTTCCCATCCTCCATCTTCCGGAAGGGCCTTGCAGTCTGTGACAGGCGGGCATAGAGTTGGCCTTAAATGTTCTTACTCACTGTTCCCAGGCTGACAGATGCTCTACAGCGTGAACCAGGGCTAACTATGTGTGACTTTTCCCATTCTGGTTAGAAAGGCTTGATGCTTTTGTTCAAGGGTAAAAGCAATAATGGTTTAACGGATTTCTTTCTTTCTTTTTTTTTTCCACGAACACTCATTTTCTCTCGCTATCTCCCTGGGCATTTAAGAGACTCCCCAAATAAGTTAGCATGTCAGGTGTGTCCCTGTAACAGCAGGCTTTGCAGGATTGAGACCAATGAGACTTGCCCTGTTTCTTTGTTTTGTTTTGTTTTGTTTTTTCAGATTCTCGCCTCTATTGAACTGCTGGCCCGCTCATTGCCAAAAATCCACCGCAGCGCGTCAGAGCCCTCCTTGAACCGGGCCGGCTTCCAGACCGAGGATTTCAGTCTGTATGCCTGTGCTTCTCCCAAAACACCCATCCAGGCCGGGGGCTACGGTGCGTTTCCAGTCCACTGAAGCCAGCTGCGTGAGTGGGAGGGTGTCGGCGGGCAGGGCTCCAGGAGACCTTGTGGGCACGCTTAGATGAGTGTGACTTTAATAGCCCTTCTCTTTTTAAAGGGGGGCACCAGAGAGCACGGCTTTTTTAAAAGGTGGGATCTAATTTTTTCCTGACCCGAAAGTCATACTTAGCATTGGATGTTCAGCCTCCACGTGTTTTTAAAATACACCAACGTGGCTCAAGTTCTCAGTGCCTCTCCTGGAGGATTTACTTCTTGCTTCGACTTTGCTTGGTTTACTTGATTCTGCTCAGTGTTGTTTCCTCGCTGAAAGTGTTCTCATGCCCTCTCTGTGGTGGGCCGTACGCGTGAGGTGCTCCGAGGTTGGGTGCTCTCATGACTTGTGGGCACTTAAACACGGCCCACAGACAGTGTCTGCGTAAATGGCCACCTTCTCTGCGGTCAGTAAGGAGGAGCTCGGGGCTTTGAAGCCAGACCGATGTAGCTGTAGAGTAGTGCACATGAACTTGGAAACGCTTCCTTTGTGTGCCGGGCTCCCATCTCAGCCTGCAGGAGGACTCTGGGGAAATCACGGCATTCCTTTTGCCCCTCTCTCGGGTAGTTCAGGATCAAGAGTGCAGTCGTGTCTTTAGATCTTGGTTGATGACTTGCAAGAACATTTCCCATATTTCAAAAAACCAGAATTTGAAAGGGTTAGAAGAATGAATTATAACATGCAAACCCTCAGAGTGCACACTTTCTGAATCCTCCCGTGAAACTGAAGATAACTGTCATTAGTGGCCATTACCAAGACCAAACTCACTGCCATTGAGTTGGTTCTGACTCATGGTGACCCCGTTGAGTTTCCACGGCTGTAAATCATGATGGAAGCAGACTACGTCATCTTTCTTCCATGGAGCAGGCCGATGGTTTGAACCACTTAAGCTAAGTGCCTTAACGGCTGCACCACCAGGGCTCCTTACTAGTCCGTAGTGGAATGAGCAGGTTAGCAAGTGCTGTCTCTGTCATTTCCAGTCCTCCTGCCCCATCGGCCTGCCTTCTTCTCTCTCCCTAGCCCAGCACTACCCTGCCTAGCCCCCACTGTCCGCCTCTCTTCTTCCGTCTGCCCCGTCTTCTTTGCCAGGAGATGCTGCTGAGCCTGAGAGCTGCTCAGAACCTCACAGATCCTCCCTGTGGGTACTCTGGTGGCCGGTAATGCCCTCCTCCCTGCAGCCTGGAAGAGCAGGGAGGTGGGGCAGGCAGACGACTGGATAGCGTGGGTCCAGAGGCGGGAAGCGCTAGCATTGACTCTGTGTTAGCTTGTGGTTTGTTTCCCTTTCTGTTTGTTTCATACTAGCTTTAGGTCAGTTCTTCCCATAAACAAAAAGTGCCCTGTAGCACTCAGCACTTTACGTAGATAACTGAAGTAGGAGACTGACTCCTTTTTCCTGAAACTCGAGCCCTCTTGCGTTTTCACTGAAGTCAGTCATTTATGAGGCAACCTTTTTTTTTTTTTTAATTGTGATTTGGGTGAAAGTTTACAGAGCAAATTCATTTTCCATACAGCAGTTCACACACGTTTCTCATGACATTGACTACAATTTCCCACAATGCAGCACCTCCCCTCCCACTTCCTTCCGATACTTACCTCTTCCCTGTGTCCATCCCTCCATGAGCTGTCTCCCTGTGCATAAACAGCCTTTCTTTCTCCCATGATTGTTCTCTCCAAGGAGTGTATCTACCTCAGGTACATGTTCAGCTCATATGCCTGTCTTTTGCTTGACTTGAAGCCACAGGTGTGAGTTCAATTCCAGACCTGAAGGGCAGCTAGGGACCATAGTCTCAGTGGTTCCACCAGGCTCTATTGGACCAGCAAACTTGGTCCCCCCTTTTTTTTTTCTCAAATGATTTTGAGTTTTATTCCACCTTGTTCTCCCTCTCTATCCAGGGTCTCCTCCATAGATCCCCCTCAGAGTAGTTGACAGTGGCAGCCAGGTACCATCTAGTTCTTCTGGTCTCACAGTCGTAGAGACTGAGGATCACATGGTGAACCAATCACGAGGACTCATTGTTCCCATGAATCTTTGGTTTTCTTCACTCTTCTTTGCTCTGGACAAGGAGAGACCCATCGTTGCATGTAGATGGCTGCCTGCAAGCTTTTAAGATTCCAGTTGCTACCCGCCGAAGTAGGAGATGGAACAATGTTTTGTGTAGTATGTTACGTGAGGCAACCTTTTTATAAAATATATTTCACATTTTGAAAGTTTCATTAGTCAGTAATGAGGAATGAGATTTGTCTTCTTGACTATAGGTGATCTGGGGGCTCACAGGGTTGAACCAGATGCTTCGGGTCGGTTTGTTTCCAGACGTTATGGTACTGGCCCGACCTCTGAGGTGCTCAGTCAGTCAGTTACTCCCTCTGTAGTCATGACTGCCCAGCACATTCGCTTCTGTGGCCATCTCCCAGCTCAGCTCAAGGAAATGACCCAGCCTTTCTCCTAATGTTGTGGAACTTGATGACAAAACATTTTGTCCATTCATACACTCAATGTATAATAACCTCTCCTGTGTCCCTTTCTCTAAGAACTCACAAAGCCAACACGTCTGGGCCGGATGACCCTCATCCTTCTGAAGCTGCCTTGAAGGGCCTTGGCACCAAAAGGCAGTCTGTCCGTCTGACTTAAAGTGCCTCTACTGACATTCACAGCACATTCCTGTGCGAAAGGGCATCTTACAGCATCTTTTCTCTCCAGGGAATTTTACCAAACTGTGTGGGAATGTCACTGACATACATTCAGCTCTGGAATGAAGGCCAGTGATTTAGTGATATCTTAGAGCTAGTTAAAGGAGTCCTTAGCTTTCGAATAAACAAACCGTGACATTCGAGATGTCGAAAACCCGAAAACCCCCAGTTCCCATTTGTAAAGTCGTCTGCCCAAGTGTTCTCTGCCCTGTTCTTCAGGAAAGCCAGTTGAAAGTGGAGCTAAGGTGACTCTCAGCAAAGGGGGCCAGCGTGGCGTTCTGGCCTCAAAGTGATTCTCCAAGATTTAAAATAGTGAAGCCCAACTGAGCATTCACAGATACTGGAGGAACTCTGACCCCAAACAAAGTGTGGGGGGGACTTCACCCACCAGGGGGCGGCACTGACCTCAGACATAATGGGGTGGGTAGAGATCCCCAGATGTGTGTGTGAGGAGGAATGAGCACAAAAATAGTTTTTCTCCAAAAGTAGATCCATTGCCTTTTGCTCCCGTCTTTTCCTTAAATTTCTCCATGATGTCGGGTACACACAGAGAACGTTTTTTTTCCCTCCGTCTCTAACCTGTGAATTCTTTTTGACACCTCTGCCCTCGCCCACCGACCTGAGTCTGGTTGTGCCAAGAACTGCCTGGTGTTGTGGTTTAGAGGTATTAGTGCCGGGTCGATTGGGGTTCGTGGGTAAGATTTTGTACTTTGGGGAGTTTTGTGTGTTTTTGTTCTGAAGCTAATAGTTTGGAGAACAGAACTGTATTCCAGAAAACGGAGTATCTAATTGCTATAATGAATGGGAAATATTTCCTGAAGATTTTTTTCAGTAGTTTTTAGAAGTGTTTAATAAGATGTGATTGACATTTTATCATTTTCTGATACTCCCTCACTTAATGAATGGGTGCTAGCTGTTTTTTATAAAGGTTTTTGTTAAGTGAATCCTGTTTTCACATTGCCTTCCTTTAATTCTCATTTAGATGCTGCTAGATGTAGTGAGTATTCATAGGAACATTGCAGATCACTTTAAGAACTGTTCTATAAACTGAAAATTGCAACCCTAAGCCGTAATGTCCTTGGGCCATGAGCACCAGACATGAGAATGGTGGGGCATCTCTGAAGCCTCCATTGATGGAAGCGCATCACTGTGCCCCGATTTGCTCCCCAGGGCCTTCATGCTGGCACTAAGCTTTGAGTCAGTGCCACCACCTCACTCCTTTCAACTCTAAATAAGAGGCATAATTCTTTTACCTTTTCTGGATCTTTCCCATCACGTGCTCTTGAGGAAAGGCCTGGTTATCTGCTTCCATAAAGACGACAGCCAAGCAGACCCGATGGAGCAGTTCTGCTCTGTGGCACACAGGGTCTCCTGGAGTTGGGGCCACCTTGACGATAGTGAACAGCACTTACTAAGTTCACGGCATCTCGGTTAATTATGGCTGGAAAGGAACGTGTCACTACCTGAAGTCCAATTACAAGCTGTATTTGGAATGAGAAAACAGATTAGGAAGTGTTGACAACTGGTTAGGGACTCTGATTGGTAGAGCCCTGGGTCGAATGCCGACTCTCCGGTTGTCTAGCTGTGTGATCCCAGGCAAGTCCCTTCGCCACTCTGAACCCAGGTCAGCGTAGCGGTGGCCCACCCTCACAGGGTTATTGTGCGGAACAGGTGGGGGTGCAGTGCTCGACAAGGCACCTGACATGGGACAGGCTCGCAGGTCGGGCAGATCGCTTCTCCGCTCCCAGGGACCCAGCTGTCGGCAGTCTGCTTTGAGGGTCACGCCAGTGCACTCAGCAGCCAGCTGGCCTCTGCTAACAGTCGGAAAGTGGACAGATTATTCCTGCACTAGTTACATGGTGTGGTAGAGGAAGCAATGGCATGGATCCTCCTCAGAAGAGGCTGTTACCAAAAAACTCTGAGGTTAAGGCTGACTGAATGAGTGGTGGTCGTTGCCAGATGTAGCTGTCGGGCGTATGATCAGAGGAACTGGCCCTGCTTCTAAGCGGGAGCTGAGGAAAAATAACGGCAGATGCCTCCAAATTCAGCAAGCCCACGGAGTGTGGGGGACCCGAGGAGATGGTGGATTTTAAAGAATCCCTGCTGCTGAGAGTCATGGTTAGTGCCTGTGCCCGTGTTTAATTTTTGGTAATTTGAAAGGTGAGTTAAACTAGAAATGGAAGGCCCAGAATTTCTTTCCTTCTGTCAATTGTACAATGTGGGCAGACTGTTTGACTTGTCAATTATGTCTTTTGTAAAATAAGGCTAATTCCTGCTTCCCCATCTTGATAGTGGCATTG